GAGAGAGAGAGAGATTTACAGCATATTTGCTCAGCTAGAGCCGACCTGTGAACCAATTTATAGTCGAAACTTTTAGGCCAGAAGACAGAGAGCTAAAAGTTTGTCTTACTCTCCGAGCAGGTGACGCCAGCCGCCTTCGGTCCCCCGCCTCGCGGACAGTGCATGTGGTTGTTACGGCGACACTGCTGAATGGAGAACTCGGTGCCAACGCAGTGAGTTCCGCTGAGGATCAGCTCGGCGGCATTTGGGTCGCTGGTCCAGTACCAGGTATCCTGTCGGAGGCAAGGAGGAAGCTCGCGATTCATTGTACATCAGAGTGAATTAAAAGGTTGGAACTATAGATTAACCTGCAACTCTTTATTTGTCTTTCATTAACACCCCTGAGGGCTACCATTCATCAAAGAGATAGAACTGCTCATTTAGAGCTTCTTGTAGTCATGAAGGTTTGCCGTTTCATTTGAGTGGGGGGGGGGGACACAACAATGAACTGATGTGGCGTCACTTTCAGAATACCTGATGTGCACTCGCAGCAAATCCCAGACCCAGCTGTCTGCACACCACCATGGCTTCATTGATGCCCCAGTTCTCGCTGCAGACCGAACCCCAACGCTTGCGGCCGCCCACCTCCATGAGCACCTCCACTCGACCCTCTGAGGGCACCCTGCCGCCAGCCAGACGCACCTGGAAAACAAGGTTTACCATTATTCACCTTTGAATGCCGAAGCACGTGTGTTACGGCGGTGTTACAGTATTGTTCATACCGTGTACTCTGTGCCGGTTTTAGGAACGTTACAGCGCACGGAAGCATCCTGGCTATGTTTGAATGTCCACGGTTGAACCTCCTGGAAGAAGCAGTCGAGGATGGATCGTTCTGTCCCCGTGCACTGCACACTGTTCATGTGGATGGGTCCACTACCTGCACAGGTCAGAAATTTTGTTTTTCCACAGTTTGCTTCGTGTGGGCCGAACAACCACATGATCACTCTCAAGTGTGAAATAGCGCTACTTAAC